AATCTTGGTGGTGCTGAAACCCTTTTGCGTCGCTCGTCCTCTGGATGTGCACACTCTCTTGTGCGCGTGCATGTGTGTTTGCACACACCTTCACGGAGAACGATGCTGGCTGTGGCTCCTCGCCCAGGCCAGTGCTGGTGATGCTGAAACTCATTTGTGGTGTGCGCGCCTATATGTTTGTGTGCTCGTGTGCGCGTTAATGTGTGTTTGCACCTAGGCACAAACCTTCGCGGAGAATGACGCTGGCTGAAGCTTATTGCCCAACACAATACTGGTGATGCTGAAACTCATTCGTGTGTGTGCGCATGCGTGTGTGCTTGCGTGTGTGCATTTGAGTGAACATGCTGGCATATCAGCAGCAAAACACACACCTTCACGGAGAATGACGCTGGCTGAGGCTCATTGCCCAGTACAGTGCTGGTGATGCTGAAACTTATGGCCGCGCTGCTCGTGTCACCCGTTGTAGTTGTAGCGCCCACGTCAGCAGAAGCGGGAGCGCCGGCAGTGGTGGTGGCGCTAGCAGCGGGAGCACTGGCAGTGGTGGTGGTGGCAGCAGTGGGCAGCAGTGACTGCGTGGCGACAGCAGCAGCCGTGCCGTGGCCCGAGTTGTGGAAGAGTGCTGCCAGCGTCACTGGCACGGGTGCCTCGATCTATGAGTTGTTGGGAAGAGGAGGAATAAAGAGTGGAGGGGGTGGAGAGATAGAGTGAGAAGCATAGCGTGAGAGTGAGGAGTTGTGGACGAGTGCTGCGAGTGTGACTGGCACTGGTGCCTCCACCTGTGCGGATTTGGGGAGAGAAGGGAGGAAGGGAAGAGGGGTAGAGGAGAGGAGGGAGGAAGGGAAGAGGGGTAGAGGAGAGGAGGGAGGAAGGGAAGAGGGGTAGAGGGAATGAAGGCGTAGAGTGAGAGTGAGGAGTTGTGGACGAGTGCTGCCAGCGCCACTGGCACTGGTGCCTCCACCCCACGAGAGAGAAGAAAGGGAAGATGGATAGAGGGAGTGAAAGGGCAGTGTTTGGAACGAGAGGAGGGAAAAAGGGAGGAGGGTAGGAGCAGGAATAGAAGGAAGAAAAGGGTGGAAGGATAGAGAGAGTGAAGGCATAGCGTGAGAGTGAGGAGTTGAAGAAGAGTGCTGCGAGCGTCACTGGCACTGCTGCCTCCACCTTTTTAGGGAGAGAAAGTGAAAGAGGGAGAGAGAGGAGGAAAAAGGCTACGAAGGTTAAAAAGTGACTGGCACTGGTGCCAACTTGTGGGATGTTGGGGAGAGGAGGGAGGACGGGAAGAGGGATAGAGGGAGTGAAAGGGCATAGCGTGAGAGTGAGGGGTTCTGGAAGAGTGCTGCGAGCGTCACTGGCACTGGTGCCTCCACCTGTGGGCGTTGGAGAGAGGAGGGAGGAAGGGAAGAGGGATAGAGCGTCACTGGCACTGGTGCCTCTGCTTAACCTTTTCGTGGGGGAGAGAAAGAGGAAAAACGAAAGAGAGGCACACAAGTCACCGACAAAATTCATGACACCAGAAGCAGTCGTGCCATATGCTCCACTCGCCCACTCTCCCATGCTCACTCCCCCATGCTCGCTCCCCCATGCTCATTCCCATCACTCCCCCATGCTCATTCCCCCACCTCTCCCCCATGCTCATTCCCCCATAGCCACCTGAGGAGTGGTGAGGTCGTCGCCTTGCACGTGCCGGGGCACAAAGTAATGCACTTGCAGCTTGGGTGAAGGGACCACCGTCACTCGCACACTCGTCAACTCCATCCTCTTAGCCACCGGCGCTGTTTCGGATGCTGGTGCTGACGTGGCAGTCGCAGAGGATGCTGACGTGGATGATGATGCAGGTAGGGTGTAGTCCAGTGTGCTGGCGAACTTGAAGTTGGTGGGAGCGGCAGGCGCGGCGCAGTCCAGAGCGAGGAGCAGCCAATCAACGCCCGCTGATGTGGCAGAAGGAAGGGTGCCTGGGGAGAAGGAAAAAGGGGAGAAAAAGGGGAGAAAAAGAGGAGAAAAAGGGGAGAAAAAGGGGAGAAAAAGAGGAGAAAAAGGGGAGAAAAAGAGGAGAAAAAGAGGAGAAAAAGAGGAGAAAAAGGAGAGAAACGAGGGAGAGAAACAGAGGAAAAGGAAGACAAAATATTACTGACCAAGCGGTTGAAAATGTTATTACTGTCGCCGAAATCGTGGCTTCCACTTACGAGCGGATTGATCCAGCTGCATAACCAGAGCTTGTGGACGCTCAAGAGGGTGCGGACAAAGATCCTGGAGGAGGATTTCCATCCATGCTAATCATGGGGTAGAGTCAACGACAGGCAGCAGCAGTTACGGCATGCAAGGAAGCCGATGTGACAAAGGACGTGACGTCCGTGACGCAGGACATGATGCAAAGAAGAAATACGGCTCAAACAACCAACAAGGAGGTATCCGTTGAGGTTGTGGTGGGAAATCTGGACGTGTGGGCAGTTAGGTTGCTGGTGGCAAATGGAAGAGAGCTGCTGGTAGTAAGAAAAGGAGAGGTGGGTGGCAATCTCACCTGCACTGCTGACATCATCAATCCCTTGCAGAAACAGTGCAATGAGCATTTGATGCATCCATGTAATGTGATGACCCACAGTGGGTCATCACATTTGATTGACTATTGTCAACCCACTGGTGACACCACTCTCACCTGCACCGCTGACGTCGTCAATCCCCTGCAGCAGCGGGTCGCTGAAGACGAAGCAGCGGGAGGCGTCGGTGCCGTTGGGGTAGGTGATGCGTGCCGTGACTGCCACGTCAGCCATGGGGCGATCCTCCATGTTGGACACGTACACGTGTGCTCGCACCTGTGGTGTGGAGATAAGGTGGGGGGAAAGGAAAAGGAAGAAAAAAGGAGGTGGAGAGGAGTAAAGCGATTGTTGAGAGGGGTTAATCAAACACCCATCAGACTATCCTCCATGTTGGACACATATACGTGCGCGCGCACACACACACCGATGGATGGAAATGACAAGTGTTGCCAACCGTGTTGTCAATCACAGGATTTGGCAACAAATTTCGTACGTTTACTCGGAACCGCCCAAATCCTGGTTGCAGAAATTTACGTCTATGGGATCTATCCTTTGAACTTCATTCAGCAAAACTCAATCTTTCATGCGTTCAACTCGTGTTTGCGAGATCTATTGAGCAGCTATAGTGATGGAATTCGATGATGCTGCAGCATCAGAGTAATGGAATCCTACAGCACCATCCGTGCTCGGGTGGTGCCTGAGTCGATTTTTGAGTCGACTCAAAAATCAACTCTTCTATAGCACCATCCGCGCCCAGGTGGTGCCTTCAGTCAATCAACTCGCTCCACGCAGCATGACTTAAGAGGTTACAATGTGGCGGCGCGGCGCCCTACAAAAGGAGGCGGTGGTAGCGGTGGTGAAGCTCAACACCACCGTGCTGCCGCGCGCCCCAACAAGGGACAGCTCTGACAAGTCAACACCAGTAGTTTTTTAGAATTCTCAAACTGGTTGCTGAGAATTCTCAAAAACCAGCACACAAGCAGACCTGATGTCAGCACGCCCCACTTCACTCACCACGGGCCGACTGGCAACAATGCGGCGGCGCCCCACGAAGGACTGAGGCCCCGAGGGGGTGGCAGCGGTGAAACGGAACGGAACTCCACCGTGCTGCGCGTGGCATCGGGAGACAACACTAGCACCGCACTGCACTGCTAAGGCACACAGGCCTGAGTGTCAGCACACATGCGTCACTTCACTCACCACGGGGCAAGAAGCAACAATGCGTGCGGCGGCGCCCCACGAAGGACTGATGCCCCGAGGCGGTGGCGGCGGTAAACCGGAACTCCACTGCGTCACGTGTGGCATCGGGAGACAGCTCTGATTTTGAGGCGCCTAGTTTTGAGGCGCCTCAAAACTAGACCGTGCTGCACATGGCATCGGGAGACAGCTCTGACAACACTGCTGCCCCAGCGGCCCCGGTGGCTCCGGTGACCGCGGTGGTGGTGGCAAGAGCGTCCAGAGATGAGATGGACCAGCTAAAAAAAAACACTTCACTCACCACGGGTCGACTGGCAACAATGCGGCGGCGCCCCACAAAGGACTGAGGCCCCGAGGCGGTGGCAGCAGTGAAGCGGAACTCCACCGTGCCGCGTGTGGCATCGGGAGACAGCTCTGAGAGCACAGCAGCCCCTCCCGTGGTTAGTGTGGTGGCAAGAGCATCCGGGGATGAGAAGGAGGTGATGGTGGTGGTCGTGGTGGTGGCGGTGTCGGCGGTGGTGGTGGTGGCGGTGGCAGTGGTGGTGGGTGTGGTGGTGGTGAAGAGCGAGAGGTCTGTCTCGTTGGAGTAGGCAAAGGCACTCGTCAGCTCTGCCGTTACGTTGGTCGTTTCCAGGAAGGTGCCTGCAAGGAAGTGTGCGGGAAAGGGGACGAGGATAAATTAAAAAAAAAAAAAAAAAAAAAAAAAAAAAACAGGTTAGGGAGTTGAGTTGAGACTGCCTGTGTTATATTCAAGGAGTGAAGCAACCTCCGTACTGTGCATTGCATGCCATGCTGGCATTTCCATATTCACACACCTCCACTTCTCCCTCCCTCTCTCTCTCTCTCACTCACCTCAATCTCCCTCCCTCTCTCAAGCAGTCCTTCACACACCTCTACTTCTCCCTCCATCCCTGACTCACCTCCCACGAAGCTGAGCTGGTGAATGATGTGTCGCTTGCTCGCCACGTGAATTAATAGCATGCCACTCACTCTCACACTTTCAATCTATTACCGCACCACTTCTCTTCTCTCTCACCTCCTACGAAGCTGAGCTGGTGAATGATGTGTCGCTCGCTCGCCATGTCCTGCCCCCACCACGTGCCACCTGTGAACCCCACGGATGCTGACGTGGCGCCGAGGATGGTTTCAATGTCCACGTGGGCAGTGAGCACAGGTACACCTGGCTTGACTTTGGATGACCCGCCCAGAAACACGTTGAGGGTCTGAGACGCCCCTTCGTAGCTCACCCAGGCGTACTGCTGAGTGTTGAGGGGGAAGGCCTGGCAGGAAGGGAGGGGAGGGAAGGGAGGAGTGGGAGGGGTGGGGATGGACGGATGGGTAAGCGTGAGTGAGCACTGGTGCAACTGGCTTGACCTTGGATGATCCGCCAAGGAACACGTTGAGGGTCTGAGACGCCCCCTCGTAGCTCACCCAAGCGTACTGCTGGGTGTTGCGAGGAAAGGCCTGTGAGGGGTTGTGTAGGGGATTTTAGGAGTGGAGTGGGGTGGAGTTGGTGGGTTGAGCACTGGTGTTAACAGCTTGTGGAAACACGTGGAGGGTCTGAGATGCCCCTTCGTAGCTCACCCAAGCGTACTGCTGGGTGTTGCGAGGAAAGGCCTGGGGGTGGGAGGAAGGAGCAGAGCAGGGGAGGGGAAGGAGAGAGAGAGGGCGGTGAGACGTTCAGGATTATTATGACCTCCCATTAGGCAAGCCCACCCCCTGCAAGGATAAAAGCAAGAGCCAAGATTTAAAGACATCCCACTAGGCAATCAGACCTTTCCAAAAGATAAAAAGCAATGACTGCTAGGACAACCAGAACAAGGAGTCAAGATTTTCAAGACGTCTCAACAGGCGCTCGCACCTTCTCTGGGGGAAGAACAGTGGAGAAATCAGCTCCAGCACAGCCGTCACCAGCCACGACTCCCTTAGAGGAGACGGCTATACAGGGTACGGGGCACAGGCGAAACTCCACTGCCACGCTCTTGAGGAACGCCCCTCCTGCTGAGCCATAGCCCAGGGAACTGCGGAGGGAGAGAGAGAGAGAGAGAAGCACACGAGTGGGGGAAAGAAACATTGAGATGGTTTGACAACAAAGAACGGGACACAGGACACGGCATACCATACAAGCTCTTTCTGCTGATCCAGGGCTCAGAAATTTGTTGGGAAGGGACAGGAGAAGGCAAGTGGGGAGCGGGAAAGTGAGAGTGAGACAGCAACGAAGGGCGACCGGCACAGCCGAAACCTATTCGTACACTGCACATCACAACATGTACCGAATATCTTGCACCGCTCAGCAAGCATCATCCAGCAACACCCGGCACCGCACATCACCGCACAGCACCTTGCATTCTGTGGTCCGACGGCTGAGGGTGGGCCGCTGGTGAGCACAAAGGTGAATCCTCGACCCGTGACCTACAGGATGGGAGAAGGAGAGAAGCAGAAGGAGAGGTGCAGAAAGAGAGGTGCAGAAAGAGAGAAGCGGAAAGAGAGAAGCAGAAGGAGAGAAGCAGAACGAGAGGTGCAAATCAAAGAAGCAAACAGAATTTATACGATAGGCACCTCACTTACTTGCGGGAGAGCACAAAGGATGAAGAATCGGAAAATAGACAAAAAAAAATGCATTGGTGTAAGTCTGCAAGACGGCAAGAGGGAGCGACTCATTGGGATGGCGGCGCACACGCTGGCACGGAAGGTGAAGGAGAAGGCGGCTTCAACAGCGGAAGGGGTGTGGCGTGCAAGCGAGTAAGAGTACAAGGGTGGCATGGTATAGTGTAACACTGCAAGTCGCAAGGGTGAAACAGTGAGTATCTCACCGGGATAGGAATGCAGGCATCAGCGAGGAAGGTGAAGGAGAAGGCGGCTTCAAAGGCGGTGGAGCGGGCGGAGGCAGTGAGGAGGGAGAGGGGCGTGAGGGAGAGAGCAGAGCCGACAGAATCGTACGAGTCGAGCCACAGCGGAAAGAGCGGCGCCGGGCCCAGCTGGGCGTAGCCGTTGAGATCAAAGGGGGTGGTGCCGGCAAAGCCAAAGCAGTGCAGGGAGGAGGCGGTGGTTTCGCAGGTGGGTGCCTGTGTGGGTTGTGCTACTGGCAGGAACCCTGGAGAGACTGGAGTTATGGGGGAGATTTCGGGAAGATTGGGTTGTCAGTCGGATAATATATGATGTGAATGACATGTTAAGAAAAAAAAATAAAAAAAAAACAAGGCAGGGTGCTTAAGAGGGGACATCCGAATTTTGCATTTTGATTGAATAAATCTCTTGCATGGGTTACAGAACCTTGTAACATGTCTTGCTTAATTGAAATTTGCATGTGACACCACAAAGATCTCATGATGACGAGGATTAGACATTGCTGGTTAAAAGAGCATCCTATCTTTCCCAAGCTCTTGGAGAACAACTTTTCCCACAAGTATTTCTTGGTGTTCCCAACTTCAACTTTCTATGTTTTTCCTCTTTTAGTGTTTGTGCTTACCCTGACTGAACCATTTCATCATGCAATAACAAACATGTATTTATTTTGTGCTTGATTGACAAATCCAATTTGTGGTGAGCTAAGATAATAAATGTCAAGTAAGCCTAGGAGAACTTAACTTAGGGGCTTGAAAAAGTATTTCTAAAACTTTTGAAATATCGTTCACAATGGGAAATTAAGGGCTTTGGAAGGGATAGGAGAGGGATTCCTGGGAGCAGCTATGTTGAGTAAGCCCAGAAAATAAGATTTGCAAAGGGACATTGGACCTATGGATGGTTGGTAAAGCATCAGAGACTAAAGTGAATGCTGATGCGTTGATAGTCAAGTATGATGCATACAAAAAGAATTGTCAGCTCACCAGCGTTGAAGGAGAAGGAGTTGATGAGGTGGTGGTCGTCCGTGTTCACTTTCGAGTCGCCTCAAAAGACAACGTCTCATCATTAACACTAACTGAATCTTTTCGCCGCTCACCGGTGTTGAAGGAGAAGGAGTGGATGAGGTGGTGGTCGTCCGTGTCGCCACATCCCCACCACCACGTGCCAGCTGTGAACCCCACAGACGCTGACGTGGCACCAATGATAGCCACAAGATCCAGCGACGCCCGCAGAACCGGCTCCTCGGGCTTTATGCCGTCGCTGCCGCCCAGATAGACCTCGAGAGACTGGGATGTGCCGTCGTATGCCACCCACGCGTGCTGCCTCTCGCTCAGTGCAATCTCCTGTGGGGACAGTGCAAGGATGCATGGGAAGGGTGGGGTTTGAAGGAGCGAGGATAGACCTCGAGCGACTGGGATGTGCCGTCGTATGCCACCCACGCGTGCTGCCTCTCGCTCAGTGCAGTCTCCTGCATCAAATGGCGATTTAGACACGAACCCATACTTAAGTAATGCGGTTTTCATCCAACAAAATCCTATACACGAGAGGGTAAGATACAGTGGGTAGGGAGTGAGGGAACCAGGTTGGTAGTGGGGCGGCTTCAGATGCGCTGTCGTGCCGTATAACGACCACAGCTTCACCGCCACACTGCTTCGGAACCGCTTTTTACCGCAATGAACCGACCTGATCGCCTGTGAGGCCGGTCATCTGGCCAGCAGCAGCGCAGTTGTCGCCTGAAGCCACGCCGTTCACCACCACAGCCACACACGAGGTGGGCCCCGACCGAAGCTCTACTGCTACACTTCCGTTGAACGCCCCTGGCGCCGCTCCCCCGTACCCTATGGCTCTGTTGTGGGGAGTGGGGAAGAGGGGGTGAGAAGGGCGGATAGGGAGCGAGCCACACACGAGGTGGGCCCCGACTGAAGCTCCACTGCCACACTCCCGTTGAACGCCCCTGGTGCCGCTCCCCCATACCCCATGGCTCTGGTGGGAGGGAGGTAAGGGGAGAGGTAGTGGGAGAGGAAAGGGTGCAGAGGGATGGTGGAGGAAAAGGGGAGGGACAGGAGGTGGGCCGCATTCGCAGCTCCACTGCCACCCACACTCTCGTTGAACGCCCCTGGTGCCACTCCCCCGTACCCTGTGGCTCTGTTGGGAAGGGGGGGAGGTGAGCGGAGCAGATAGGGATTGGGGAAGGGATGAGAGCACCTCCACCGCCACACTCCCGTTGAACGCTGCTGCCGCCGCTCCCCCGTACCCTATGGCTCAGAGAGTGGAGTGGGTTAGGGGAGGGGTGGAGAAGTGAGGGTGGAGAAAGAGAGGAATGTGGAACGCAGTAGGGATGGTAGACAGGACTTAACTAAACCACTGAAAGGTGATGCGACAGACAGGAACATGAACCCAACCTTTTTTTTTTTTTTTCCTCCCAGTGCTTGTCATTCTATGCCTCGGCAATTCACTCACCCCATGTCACTCGACCCGCAAGCAGTCTTATCTCCGCTGCTAATGACAAAAGTCAGCCCCCTGCTGCCACGGTAGCCATACGACGTCTCCGTCCACACCGAAAAGGCAAACGCTGCCTCAAACGCCACTGCTGCCGCCGCTGCCCCTGGATCAGTCACTGCTGACGTGGACGAATCCAGCGAGAGCGCCATGTCAGCGAGCGTGAGCGCGCTGCCAGCAGTGCCGCCAGTGTCGAGGACGAGAGGGAAGGAGGGGGCGGGCCCCACGTGGGCGTAGCCGTTGAGGCGGAAGGCTGAGCGGCCCGCAAAGCCCGAGCAGGTGAGACGCGTGTTGGAGGGGGCGAGATGGCACGTGGTGGGCGCAGGGGAGGGCGGCAGTGACTGCTGCGACCCGGGGGGAACTGGAAGTGCGGGGGGTGGAGAAAGGTACGAGAGGGGAACAGGAAAGATAATAAACAAACACTGAGATATGATTCTAAGAGGATGCCCTTCAAAATGGTCCTCTAGGTGCACCTTTCTCCAAGGCAGTCTTTTCTCATAACAATAACAACAACAACAACAACAACAACAACAACAACAACAACAACAACAACAACAACAACAACAACAACAATAACAATAATAATAATAATAATAATAATAATAATAATAATAATAACAATAACAATAACAATAACAATAACAATAACAATAACAATAACAATAACAATAACAATAACAATAACAATAACAATAACAATAACAATAACAATAACAATAATAATAATAATAATAATAATAATAATAATAATAATAATAATAATAATAATAATAATAATAATAATAATAATAATAATAATAATAATCCTACCAGCTTGGAAGGAGAAGGCGTGGATAATGTGGTCTTTAAGGTCGTCCATACATATGAATTCATGTATAAGTATAATATATTTATGAATGTATCCTACCAGCTTGGAAGGAGAGCGAGTGGATGATGTGGTCTTCAAGGTCGTCTACCCACGTCCACCACGACGCGCCTGTGAAGCCAACTGACAGCCCCGCCGTGCCGCCCAGCACGGCCGCCACATCGATGGGCGTGACCAACACAGGCGCGGTGGGCTTGGTGGGGGCGCCAGGGGACACAAACACCTGCAGCGCGCCGCTGCTGCCGTCGTAACTCACCCACACATGCTGCGGCTCGTTCAGCGTGAATGCCTGGGGAAATGGGGGAGCGGAGAAGTGGAGAGAGCAGGGGACCGGGTGGAGCAAGGGAGTAGGGGCTCCGGGAAAGCAGGGCTTAGTGTTGGGACAGCTCGACTGTCAACTACCGGAATGTTAAGACGTATTACGGTAAGGGAGAGAGCGTGCCTGCAAGCCTCAGGATGACATGCAAGTAACATCCCCTTCACCGGGCCAGACTTAGACAGGCACTGAAAATGGTGCACGGTGGGAATCGAACTTGACACCTTTGATCTGGTCGAGCATAGCATTTCTCATTGAAACCAACGAGGGCGCTATCACAAAGAGGCACTTCCAAGAAGGAGTTAGCCTTACTCGAGCAGGTTTTATGTACCCCGGGAGGAGTCACCGCAGCATTTCTCACCGCAGCATTTCTCACCGCAGCATTTCTCACCTGAGCAGGTCTCACCTGAGCAGGTCTCACCTGAGCAGACAATACTTGAGCAGGTATTACTAGAACAGCCACTATCCGAGCAGGAGCAGGTGTTACCCGAGCAGGCGTTACCTGAGCGGGCGGCAGCAGCGCCATGGCATCGGAGTCGGCACAGTTGTCGCCGGCCACCTGCCCGCCCACCACCACCGCCACACACGCCGTCGGCCGCGCCCTCAGCTCCACCGCTATGCTCCTTGCAAAGGACGCGTTGGGGGCGGCACCGTACCCGATTTTGCTGGTGGGTAATGGGAGAGGAGCAAGGGGCAGGAGTGAGTGAGGGTGCTGTTGATGGGCCGTGCTCTCAGCTCCACTGCTATGCTCCAAGCAAAGGACGCGTAGGTGTGGGAGGGGGGGCGCAGCTCCGCCAGGGGAGAATAGTGGTGATGGAGAAAGGGGGGTGGGGTGGAAGAAGGGAAGAAGACGGAAAGACGGAATAGGAACGAGAGAATAAGGGCTAAATGGGAGTCGTGTTGGGAGCTGCCCCGTGCATCCGCACTACCACACGCAACCCCTCCCCACCCCCCACTCTCTATGCACAGCATGCTCTAGCACATCCAATAGTACCGCACCACACCTAATCCATCCCCCCCCCACCGCTCCCCACCACTCCTCACCTGGCGGAGCTGCGGCCACAGGCGGTCTTGTCCCCGGCAGTGAGCACAAACGCCAGCCCTCGACTTCCCCAGCTGTTGTAATCCGCACTCGCCGCAAACGACACCGAAAACTCCGCCTCAAACGCCACCGGACCGCTGCTGAGGCTGAGGCTGAGGCTCGGGATGGAGAAGGCGCAGCCGGCAGCATTGGTGGTGGTGTCAAGCCAGATGGGGAAGTTCGGTCCAGGCCCGATCTGAGCATCGCCAGAGAGGATGAAGAAGGGCGATGAGGAGGAAGAAGAGGAGAAACCAGCACACGAGATGCTGGTCGCAGTGACGTTGCAGGGGGCAGGGGAGGGGGAGCTAGCGGAAGGGGCAGGGGCAGGGGCAGGGGTGACAGAGGCAGTGAGACCACCGATGCCAGAGCCAGTGTCGACAGAGGCAATGGAGTAGAGGCCGCCGCCAGCAGCAGAGGGATCCGTGGCTCCAAATGAAGCTACGGTTGCACTGCTGATATCGGCCGTTCGGGGGAGACGTGACTCAGTGCTGGTAGCATCAGCAGAGGTAGCAGTGGCAGTATCGGCTGTAGCGCCGGCTGTAGCGCCGGCTGTGGCGCCGGGTGTAGCACCAGCTGGGAGGAATTTGAAGTCAAACGAGTCAACGGTCTGAATGAGATCCCCTCCGGCGACCACCCCTGCCGCTGCCAGCTCGGCTGTATCCACTGCTGCCGACCCTCCCGTGAACCCCACAAACAGACAACCGCCGCCGCCCACCGCCGCCTCGCCAATGCCGTCCGGGCAGCTGCCGTCAGGTGCCAAGCCGAGCGCCCGAGGCAGGTCGACAGGCTCGGAGAGCACCGGAGCTGCAGGCTTGGTGGGGGAGGAGCCGCTGAGGAAGAGGCGGAGAGAGGCGAGTGAAGCGTCGTAGTCCACCCAGGCGTGCTGCTGTACCCCCGGGACCAGCAGCTGCCAAGAAGGGAGAGGGGGGATGAGAAAATGGGGAAGGGGATGAGGTGAGCATAAGGAATTTTGGTCCGAAGGAGGCGTCGTTGTCCACCCAGGCATGCTGCTGCATGCATGGGGGGGGGGGGGGGGAGGGTGGAGGAAAGAAAGGAGCAAGGGGATGGGGGAAAGAAAGGAGCAAGGGGATGGGGGAAAGAAAGGAGCAAGGGGATGGGGGAAAGAAAGGAGCAAGGGGATGGGGGAAAGAAAGGAGCAAGGGGATGGGGGAAAGAAAGGAGCAAGGGGATGGGGGAAAGAAAGGAGCAAGGGGATGGGGGAAAGAAAGGAGCAAGGGGATGGGGGAAAGAAAGGAGCAAGGGGATGGGGGAAAGAAAGGAGCAAGGGGATGGGGGAAAGAAAGGAGCAAGGGGATGGGGGAAAGAAAGGAGCAAGGGGATGGGGGAAAGAAAGGAGCAAGGGGATGGGGGAAAGAAAGGAGCAAGGGGATGGGGGAAAGAAAGGAGCAAGGGGATGGGGGAAAGAAAGGAGCAAGGGGATGGGGGAAAGAAAGGAGCAAGGGGATGGGGGAAAGAAAGGAGCAAGGGGATGGGGGAAAGAAAGGAGCAAGGGGATGGGGGAAAGAAAGGAGCAAGGGGATGGGGGAAAGAAAGGAGCAAGGGGATGGGGGAAAGAAAGGAGCAAGGGGATGGGGGAAAGAAAGGAGCAAGGGGATGGGGGAAAGAAAGGAGCAAGGGGATGGGGGAAAGAAAGGAGCAAGGGGATGGGGGAAAGAAAGGAGCAAGGGGATGGGGGAAAGAAAGGAGCAAGGGGATGGGGGAAAGAAAGGAGCAAGGGGATGGGGGAAAGAAAGGAGCAAGGGGATGGGGGAAAGAAAGGAGCAAGGGGATGGGGGAAAGAAAGGAGCAAGGGGATGGGGGAAAGAAAGGAGCAAGGGGATGGGGGAAAGAAAGGAGCAAGGGGATGGGGGAAAGAAAGGAGCAAGGGGATGGGGGAAAGAAAGGAGCAAGGGGATGGGGGAAAGAAAGGAGCAAGGGGATGGGGGAAAGAAAGGAGCAAGGGGATGGGGGAAAGAAAGGAGCAAGGGGATGGGGGAAAGAAAGGAGCAAGGGGATGGGGGAAAGAAAGGAGCAAGGGGATGGGGGAAAGAAAGGAGCAAGGGGATGGGGGAAAGAAAGGAGCAAGGGGATGGGGGAAAGAAAGGAGCAAGGGGATGGGGGAAAGAAAGGAGCAAGGGGATGGGGGAAAGAAAGGAGCAAGGGGATGGGGGAAAGAAAGGAGCAAGGGGATGGGGGAAAGAAAGGAGCAAGGGGATGGGGGAAAGAAAGGAGCAAGGGGATGGGGGAAAGAAAGGAGCAAGGGGATGGGGGAAAGAAAGGAGCAAGGGGATGGGGGAAAGAAAGGAGCAAGGGGATGGGGGAAAGAAAGGAGCAAGGGGATGGGGGAAAGAAAGGAGCAAGGGGATGGGGGAAAGAAAGGAGCAAGGGGATGGGGGAAAGAAAGGAGCAAGGGGATGGGGAAAGAAAGGAGCAAGGGGATGGGGGAAAGAAAGGAGCAAGGGGATGGGGGAAAGAAAGGAGCAAGGGGATGGGGGAAAGAAAGGAGCAAGGGGATGGGGGAAAGAGTGGGGATGACAAGGGTGGAGGGATGCGAGGCAGGCGTCGTCGTCCACCCAGGCGTGCTGCTGCACCCCCGGGACTAGGAACTTGCAGGGGTGGTGGGTGCGCCGGGCAACCCTTGCGGTGCGTCAGGCGACCCTTGCGGTGCATTGCACGGTGCCCCCGTGCATATCACAGTGCCCCACCAACACTCGGAACCTTCAAGTCACGTACGTACGCGCATGCGTTGCGGGTTGCGGCCGACCCTCCCTCCCTCCCTCCCTCCCTCCCTCCCTCCCTCCCTCCCTCCCTCCCTCCTTCCATTCTCAAAGTACATGGGGTGCATGCATGGTGTGTGACGCTTCCCCACACCTTCAACGTACATGCGGTGCTTCAGGCAACGAGGGGTGCATTGCATTGCAAGGACTATTACATTACGGTGTATTTTGAGGCGCTATGAGCGAAGATTACATTACGGTGTATTTTGAGGCGCTATGAGCGAAGATTACATTACGGTGTATTTTGAGGCGCTATGAGCGAAGATTACATTACGGTGTCTCACATACAGACACACATACTAACCCTGGAGTCACGTGCATGGGGTGGGGTGTGCCCCTCCCTCCCTCCCCGCACTCTCTCTCGGCTTACACGAGGTGCGTCAGACGACGAGGGGCGCATTGAAAGCTATATGGCAGTGTCCCACTCTCGGAATTTCTCAACAGTGTCCCACAAACACACGTACATGGGGTGCGTCAGGCGACGAAGGGTTGAGAGCCGCCCATCCGGCAGTGCCGTCCGCCTTGCCGCCCAGCAGCAGGCCGGCAGAGATGGGCGGGCGGCCGCTCAGCACCACTGCCAGGCTGGCATCGAAGGCGGCGCCGCCATAGCCGGCAGAGCTGTGTGGGGGGAGGGGGACGCGGGGAGGGGGATGGCGCGGAGGGGGGTTGTGGGGGAGTGGGATGGCGGAAAAGGGGAAAGGGAAGAGGGAAGGCGCGAGACGGGGGTTAGAGAAAGGAAGGGAGAAACAGGGAGAGGGGGAAGGTAGAGTGTCAACCAAGAAAAATCTCAAGCAGATGGGGGAGCGCACGGAGGAGCGCACGGGGGAGCGCACGGGGGGCACACGGGGGGACACATGGGGGAGCGCATGGGGGGACACATTGGGGAGCGCACGGGGGAGCGCACGGGGGAGCGCACGGGGGAGCGGACGGGGGCGACAAACGGGGGAAGGCATGGCGGGACACACGAGGGAGCGCATGGGGGGACACATGGAGTTGCGCACAGGAGAGGGCATGTATGAGTGTACGGGGGCCAATACGGGGAGCGCTTGGGGGAAGGGCAAGGTCAGATAAGGGGACACGGCGTGCTTGACCTGAATCCACAGGGAGGGCTTGAGGGGGGAGGCGGGGAAGAGGCGGAAAGAGGGACAATCGGGGGAGGCGGGGAAGTGGGGAAAGGGGAGATAATGGCGGAAGGCGGAGAAGTGGGGATAAGAGCGACAATGGGAAAGGTTATATCTCACATGGGCGATCCGACGGCGGTGTTGGTTCCGCCAATGATGACGAAAGCAAGCCCCGTTGCCACGTCAGCCTCGTTCTGCCCCTCCAGCTGGAACGTGAAGCGCGCCGAAAAGGAGCCTCCGCCGCCGAGCGGAGGCGAGAGCGCGGCGGTAGTGAATGCGGAACCCGCGGATCCCTTATCCGCGGTTCCGCCCGCGCCCAGGACGAGCGCATTTTCTCGGCCTGCGCCCGCGATGTACGCTTGCGCGTTGAGCGCGAATGCGCCGCCCGTGAATCCCGCGGGGCAGGATACCGCCGACGCGGAGACGGTACAGCCAGGGGAGGCCGCATCTGCCCCCTGGGCTACCGCTGGAGTGACTAGTAACGCGGCGAACAGTAACGAGGACAACAGTATCGCGGACATTATCGAGGTGAAGGGCGTGGCGGCGGAAGCGCGGGCGGAAGCGAGGGCGGAAGCGGGGGAAAAAATTCGTGGGGGATGGGCGGAAGGAGAACTTGGCGGGAGGCGCTTCCGCGCGCTAATGGCGGAAACCATCGCGAATCTCCTACTAGCACCGAAGCTCCTGGCGGAGCATCCGCGGGGATGAGATGCCCCCATGCGCGCGCCTATCACTGCGACAGCATGGGACCCTGCATTTCTGCCTGCTAGGCGAATGTGGCCCTGTCACCGCGCGATAATGAGAAATGTGGCGAGGCGAGGCGAGCATCCAATACAGGGGTAGCTTGTCCCCTCGAACCCTCCTGATACGAGCTGCTGCCTGCTGTACCTCTCGTCTCCTCTCTTCCCGGCGCTGCAAGGAGCTCCTAGAAGTTTCTTGCTCTACCTTCCTGTCTCCCCCTCGAAATTTCCTTCTGGGTGTGCAATACATTTCTTTTGTTGGTCGCCTTGTAGCACCTGCCCGTTCAGCCTGCCCGTCTAAAATGTCCCGAGTCCCCCGACTCTTCCCAGATTCCCCAACACCCATTGCCCGCACCAGTGAAATGAAACGTGGGGAGCACACTGTAGTGAGATATCAGGTACAGTACGGTACGGAGACGCGTTATTGTGGTTGAGGTGAGGAGCTCGCATACAGTAGGTTCCCACCTGGGCTGTTGTTCCTGGGGGTGTGGTCGAGGCTACAGAGCTTGCTCCCCCACACGGAAAAATGTCTTTTTTGGGATACGGTTACAAATATATGCTTTCAAAACAACTTCTACAGCACGGAAAGAGTTGTCATTTCGATTTCAAGGGTAATTCAATTCGTTCGTGATAAATCACTAGGCGATGTGGTAAATCACTTAGGACGATAGCAGTTCGGAATATCGTGGCTAATCTTGGAACGTTTTCACTGTTCCGTTAGAATGCGGAGAGAAAAACTTTCCATCGCGGCTTGCTAGAGTAATTTACCCTAACCATTGACGCTTCAGGTTGGTGTGCCATCAGAGGCGGTTCGGACTGCTCAACAGTGAATTCAACCGTCACTATAGAACACCTGAATGTAACCGAAGCCCCTGAACCTGAGCGAAACCTGTTATTGACAATGGTCGGCTTGTTACAGGTGGTACAAGAGGATTTGTACAGTTCATACAATGCATCAGTCATGATAAACAAAAAGAGCCTTTTACAGGTTCAAGAAGCCTTTTGAACCTTTCTAGTGGTCTTCGAGCTTCCTCCTGGACCGCCTGTTCTACGGGCGGCTGTTCCGAGCTTGAGAGCCCATAAAGGGGTACAATTAGATGCGTACCCATAGTCGTAAAACAGTTCTGTCCCAGGTTCGATTCTTTCTCCAGCAAATATCGCCACTCGATGATCACCAGCAGACATAATGACCTGGGAAAACAGCACCGCACATGCAAAAAAGTATACTTATGGAAAAAAAAAGGGGGAAACAAAAAGGGAGCAGTTTCAAATCGAGCTCCACAAAGTTTCCTTTATGCATTCTAATTCCGTAAAACAAACGCACCCTTGCATGGCAATTTGGCGAGAGTGAATGGTTGGCGAACTTCAGCTTGTTGCCTCTGCGAAACGCATCCAGGACATACTAGAAGGAGGAGGAGGGGTGGGGGAGGAAAGGGAGAATAGGATCGATACTTTGTGGCAATACAAGCCTTAGACATGAGAATTACGCTGGTATGATTGCCTGAATGGTACTAGTAGAAACTGCGCACGTTCTCGTGACATGAATAATTTAGAAATATATTTCTAAATTTAATGATTGTGACAAGATTCGGAAAGAGGGGAATGCAATAAGGAGTCATTCCCCTTTTATCCTTCGGCAGGTCCACAGACCTGCCACCTAGTCTCATTTCATCCATCTCAGTTTGAGTTCCCGCCCGCCGCACCCCTAGGACGCTTAGACGCTTAGGTAGTATGTAATGTTGTTCTTGTTATTTCCCTTTATATTGTGTGCCATGTACAAATTGATGATGAACCTATGACGACTGCATTGCAGACTCCTTGTAGAGTCTTGTCACAATACACAAACAAAACAACAATCGCAAAACGCGAAATTTGATATCTCTTATAAAAATAACGTCAAAATTGTTCCAAAAAACAAAACACATTAGCTGACCTTTTTGTTGAGATCGAACAGGAAGGAGCAGTTGATTCGGTCGTAGATCTTTCCCCTCCTCTCCGCCTCCGCCTCCGATATGAGCTCGCCCGTGTACTCCCCCACATAGTCGTTCTTCGACACCTCCTTCTGCACCGCACAGCACCACATATTGCCACAACGCACCGCAAGTCACCACATGGTACCACACATCATCGCACAGCACAGCATTGCAGAGAGCAGTGTGAGGAAATAAGTGTGCCCTGCTATGAGCTCGCATGTGCAATCCTCAATGCTCTCACTCTCACCCAACTCCTCATTAAGTGACGATTATGGTTGACTATTGAGTGACAATAGTGCTGCTGACTCAGCTGGCTGAAGCATATCGATTGTACAGCAGCAGGTGAACTGTGCAGGCGCGAAGGCCACACCGTCTCACATCACACCATGCTCTGCCTGGCCGTGCCATGCTACAACATACCATATCACCATACCTCAAATTACCATACCAAATCACACAGTACCACACCGTACTGCACCATACTGATCCATACCATACCGCACCCGTCCTATGCATGAATGGAAGAGCACTCACCTTGAGAAAGGCACCCCAACCAGCCACATCCGAGGGGCCCAGGAGAATCTGCAGGGAGACAGAGGGGAAGAGGGGAGGAGGTTACAAGGGCAGCTAAGGGGGGAGACAGGAGGTTGCAGGGGCAGGTAGGGGGGGAGACAGGAGGTTGCAGGGGCAGGTAGGGGGGGAGACAGGAGGTTGCAGGGGCAGGTAGGGGGGGTAGGAGGTGAGGGTACAGTACAGGGACAGGTAAGGGTGGGATACGAGGCTGCAGAGGGGGCAAGAGCAAGTGCATGTGGTGGCAATCAATGGCACACTCCCTCACGGGTGGTGGCAGGCAGCAGCGGGTGGCACTGCGTCTGTGTCTCTGGGCACATCTGAAATAGTGGACTCTCACATGCTGGTACGTGCTGAGTCGACTCAAAACACAGCGGGTGGTACTGCTTCTGTCTCTGGACACATCTGAAATAATCGGCACATGCTGGTACTGACACAAGGATTGGTTGATGGTGACGGCCCACTCACGTGCTGGTGCTGACGCAGCAGCAGCCGCATGTTGTGGCAATGGTAATTTCGCTCTCTCACAGGCGGTGGCAGCGGCAGCACTGCTCCCTCCCGGTTATCCCCACAGCTGCCCAAACGCAGCACAGATAGGCAGGAAACAATGGCAATTTCATCAAGAGACACAACCCCGGTACAGCTGTGAATGCGACTACCAAACAGATAATCCGCTCAAAAGAATGAAAGAGGCGCTTCAAGTCGAGAGAAGAAGAAAGCACTCACTCGACCCAGCAGTTGCGGCACAGGTCAGGGTCGCACTCCCTAGACGCAGCAAAGCAGGGGCAGAGGCGCGACGAGCAGTGGCTCTTGGCACAGTTGCAGCCCCGGAAGCGGTTCTTGCATGCCTGGGCGCACCTGGGAACAAGGAAATTCAGCGGGAAATGGCAAATGAGCACGGGAGACAGTCGGAAGAATTGCAGGGAGGGTGGAGTGGAACAGTGGCGCTCTTGGCACAATTGTAGCCCCGGAAGCGGTTCTTGCATGCCTGAGCACAGCTGGAGATGCAGGAAGGAAGGAATGGTTTCACCATAGACCATAAATAAATAAATAAATTAAAAAAAAAAACGTTTATTTTTTCTAATTTTCTTTTCTTTTCTTTCTTGCTTTTTTTTTTTTGGTTAAGACTCGTAAGAGTTCTCGAAAAGCTCACCCGCAGTATTTCTCGCAGAAGCACCCCCTCATGATGCATTCGCAGGTGGCCTTGGCGCAAGGCCCCTTGCAGCTGCAGGGCTCGTACTGACGCTGCGGGAGAGAGGGACGGGCAGGTAGGAGAGGATGGGAGGAAGAGGGGATGGAGAGGGACAGCAATGTGGTGGTGGTGAGAAAATCTAATGCATTCGCAGGCGGCCTTGGCACATGGGCCCTTGCAGCTGCAGGGCTCGTACCGACGCTCCGGCGTTTGCGCAAGAAAGGGACAGCGGGCACAGGGGGCACAGGGGGCAGAGGGGGCAATAGATGGGCTGGGTGCATACACAGGCGGCCTCAACTCAGAAGCTACAGAAGAATCTGCTTCCGAGAATCCTTACCTCTTTGGACGCCTCTGCTTTTAGCCTCTGCACCACCACGGCCTGCCCTGCTTCCCCCTTCCTGTACCCCTTGTTGCGCTGTATCCCCACCCACCCATCATGTCCTTACCTCTTTGGACGCCTCTGCTTTCAGCCTCTGCACCACCACGGCCTGCCCTGCCACTCCCTTCCGCCGCCCCTTGTTGAACCCCCACTGCGCCTGCACCAGCCGCCTCCTGGCCTTGGAAGTGCGGCGGCGGTGGCGACCCATCTGGAGTGTGATAGAAGGAACATCACAGAAACGAAACGATCAAGGGGGAGAAGTCTCCCCAGCCACCCACGCTTCACTTTCCAGCGCCCCTTGTACTTTTTTGAGTCGACTCGAAAATCGACTTTCCAGCGCCCCTTGTTGTACCCCCACTGCGCCTGCATGAGCCGCCTCCTCACCTTGGCAGTGCGGCGGCGACCCATCTGTGTGTAAATTGGGGAGGTGGGTGTGGGGGGAGAAGGTGCGGGGGGGGAGGGTTGCATCATATCACAACACACTGCGCCTGCACCAGCCGCCTTCTCGCCTTGGCCGTGCGCCCGGCGATGGCGACCCATCTGTAGATTGTTACGAGCCTCCTCCTCGCCTTGGCAGGCATGAGTCCACTCAAACCTCATTTTTGAGTTGACTCAAACTGTGTTAACATGGTGCCAGCCAGCCAGCCAGCCAGCCAGCCAGCCAGAAAGCCAGCCAGCCAGCCAGCCCACGGCTGCCAGGTGTGAGCCAGCACTGTGCGTGCCAGTACACAGCTGCTAGGCAGGTAGGCTGTGTGTTTTAAGTCGTCTCAAACCTCTGAGCTGAGCCAGCCCAGCACTGTGCGCGCCAGCACATAGCTGCTTGCGCCGACCTAAGAAGGGGGAGAGAGGGGGGGTGAATGGGTAGGAAGGTCGTACCGGCGTGGGTGTTTCTTCATGCAGGTCTCCCCCCTCCTGCCCCAACAAGCAGTGCGCGATCTGGGAGCACGTCTTGAGGTGAGCAAGCACTGTGCGCGCCAGCACACAGCTGCTCGCGCCGAATATCCGCACGCCCTTGCTCAGTAGCTCCCTCTCCACCGCACTCCACTCCTGCTCATCGCACTGCTGCTCCTGCTGCTGCTGCTTCTCCTCATTCGATTTTCTTTCCTCCTGCGACTGCTCTTCTGCTTCCTCACCACCACCTTCATTCCCCTCCTTCCCTTCCTTCCCTTCCCTCCCTTTTTCCCTTCCTTCCCTGCCCCCCTTTCCTCCTCTTCCCTCCCTTCTCTTCCCTCCTTCATCTCCTTCTCGTCTTCTAGATTTCTCACCCTCTCTTTGTCTTCCATTGCCTCTTTCCCCACTCCCTTTTCCCGCTCACAACTCCTATCCCCATCCCCTTCCACATCGGCAGTCATCCTTACATCACCTCTTTCCGCCTCATCCTCCTTACAAGCCTCCCCATCACTCATATTACCCTCCTCTTCAGAGCTAATCTCCAAAACCGAGGGGCTGCCTTCTCTCTCACGCTTCCCCCTCTCACCCCCCTCCTTTTCTCCCTTCCCTCTCCTCCTCTCACCTCCTTCTCCCTCACGCCTTCTCACTCCTCTTCCCCTTCCACTTCCTCCTCTCCTCGCCATCCCTCCCTTCCCTCTTCCGCTCCCCCTCTTACCACCTCTCCCACGCCCCGCCTACTTCCCTCCCCAGCCCCTGCCTCCTTTCTCTCTTCCTCCTTTTCCCACTCTTGTTCCTCCTCCACCTCCTCCATCTCCTCTTCCTTCACACACCTTCCCTCCTTGCCTCCCTCCTTCTCCTCCTCTTCACCCTTCTCTTCCTCCATTGTCTCCGCTTCCTCTTCCCCATTCTCCTCCTCACTCTCCTCCCCCTCTTCCTCCTCATCACTCTCCTCCCCGACACTGTCTGATAACTCCACTTCCTCCTCTTCCTCCTCCACCTCCTCCTCCTCATCCTCTCGTTTCACAAAACCACAAACCTGCTTCCCCTTTTTCTTGCCTTTTGCCTTGAAGGTGGTTTTCGCTGCTTTCTTCTCTGCTGCTTGCATTCGTACCAGCTTCATCGCCACAAGGGCAGGCACCTGCAACAAGGCCAAGGCAAAAGCCAAGGCCAAAGGCAAAGGCAAAAATGAAAACAAGATGAGCTTTTGAGTGATTCACAGAAGTTAAAAAAAAAAAAAAAAAAAAAAACGGAGTAAAGAAGGTAAAGAAAGTGAGTCACATGCATGAAGCAGCTTTTGAGTCGACGCAGGAGGAGTCACGCACATGCATGAAGCAAAGGGGACCGCACGGCTGAGCAGGCATGGCCGACTTGCCAGAGTCTGTTGACTCCAGTGGGGGTTGCTGGTCCGTCTGCAGAGAGGAGGGGAGGAAGTGGGAGGGGAAGGGAGGAAGTGGGAGGGGAGGGGGGAAGAAATGAAGAGGGTGCAGAGCGTATGCACGCGCATGAAAGACAAGGGGCCACCGCACGGCTGAGCAGGCATGGGCAACTTGCCGGAGTCTGTGGACTCCAGTGGGGGTTGCAGGTCTGACTGCTAAGGGGAGGAGGGGAAAAGGGAGGGGGGAAACGGAAGGGGGAAAAGGGAGGGGGAAAGTGGGAGGGGGGAAAGGGGAGGGGGGTAAGGGGAGGGGGGTAAGGGGAGGGGGAGGAGGGAGAAATGAAGAGCGCGTGCAGCAGAGCCCATGCTTCAGAGGAGTTTTGAGGCGGCTCAACTCAAAGATCCAACAACTCTGTAACTTAGAAGGTAGGCAGCTGGCCAGACAATGATAAGCGGAGGAGGATGGAAACAACAAAGTGGCGTCCGTGTGGTGACTAACTCACCTCACCAGCACCACGTACTCATTGAGGTGTCTGTGTTTGTGTTTGTGTTTGTGTCTGTGTCTGTGTTTGTGTTTGTGTCTGTGTTTGTGTTTGTGTTTGTGTCTGTGTCTGTGTTTGGGCTTGTGTTTGTGTCTGTGTTTGTGTTTGTGTTTGTGTTTGTGTCTGTGTTTGTGTCTGTGTTTGTGTTTGTGTTTGTGTCTGTGTCTGTGTTTGGGCTTGTGTTTGTGTCTGTGTCTGTGTCTGTGGTTGTGTTGGAAAAAACGCGTATTGCGTTTTGTACGCTTTCGTATAAACGCAATACGCTCGCCATGAGGGGTCTGGTACGCACATGAATACGCTTGCCCGGGCAGGAAAAAAAGTTTTTCCCGGGCAGATTTTTGGGGATAGAGGTGGGGATGGGGGGGTGATGTAACCCCCATCCCCTTTTTTATTAATATGAAAGATACAGGAAAAAAAACCCTTAAAACTAATTTGCCACCACAACTTCCTCCACCTTGATCATGCTACCCCCCCTCCCCCTACTCTACACAGGTCCGCCCTTGATCCCCCACCTGCCGCTCATGCATGGAGCCTTGGAGGCTGGGGAGAAGAGGTAGCTAAAATAGGAAGCGAGAGAATGAATATCGAGTGACCAAATGCCACTCTTTATGCCTGGGAGATTGGGTTGGGTTGAGATCCCTACCAGTAAAGTAGTGGTTGAAGGGGGTGGTGGAATGCTGTGATTTCAAGGGGTGTGAAAGGGTGGAGGGGTGGGGTTGAGGAGGTTTGGAGCTCGAAATTCAAAATTCGAGTTCAGTTCGCGACATCTGCGGCTCGAAATAGAGTTCGCCACGTCGCGAGCTTCAGATTGAAATTCGTTTTTTTTTCCGGTCTGCCCGAAATTCAACTCGGCGAATTTTCAAATTATACGCAGCGTACGAATTCGTTAAGAGTATAAACGCAAAACGCAAAATCAAAGTAGCGTATATTCCAACTTAGGTTTGTGTTTGTGTTTGTGTCTGTGTCTGTGTCTGTGTCTGTGTCTGTGTCTGTGTCTGTGTCTGTGTCTGTGTCTGTGGTTGTGTTTGTGTTTGTGTTTATGTTTGTGTTGTGTTTGTGCTTGTGCTTGTGCTTGTTCCAGTATCCTTTTCAGTCAAGCCAACTCAATAGCCGACTTATGAATCGACTCAAAAGTCGATTTCAGAAGGGGAAGAAAAAAAAAAAACTAAACTAAACTAAACTAAACTCAAGAATTGACTTAAAGTACGACTCAAATTCAACTCACAGGCACCACTGGCTCGTCAACGGTTCCGTGTGTCTTGCAATCAAAGATCTGCATGGACAGGTAGAAGGAAGTTGGGGGTGGGAGGGGGAGGGAGGGAGGATGGGGGGAGTCCTTGCGAGTGATTTTTGAGAATTCTCAAAAATCACTCGGGAGGATGGGGGGAGTCCCGGGGGGAGTGGTGGAGGTGGGGTGGGGAGAGAGGGATTTGGGTAGACTTAGGAAGAGCACTTGCATTCCATGTGTGATGTGCCTTGCAACCATTTACATGCACAACCGAGAGCTCTCAAGGGAGGAGAACGCAGAGCAGGGGGGCCTAGGAGATTGGTGTTTGTTATTGGGTAGAACGACATGCGATGGGGTTATTCCACATACTGGCTTGGCACATACACTCACTCCCTCACTCACTCCCTCACTCACTCCCTCACTCCCTCGCTCACTCCCGCACCCTCGAATGGTCCTTATGATTGAATATAATGAACGGTGCAGCAAAAAGACCCACGAGGCATCGGCGGCAGAAGAGGTGGTCCCACGAGTCCGTGGCTCCCTCCAGGTCCTCAAACTGCCCAAGAGGTGCCCCCCTCGTGCCCTCACTATCTCGCTCACTCACTCACTCACTCACTCACCCACTCACTCACTCTCTCCCTCACCCAATCACTCACTCACTCTCTCACTCTCGCAGACTCACGAGGCATCGGCGGCAGAAGAGGTGGTCCCATGAGTCCATAGCACCTTCCAGGTCCTCAAACTGCCCAAGAAGCACCTGCCGTGTGCCCTCGCACACTCCATCTGAGCGGCTCAGGTTTGAGCCTGACCCAGTCGTTTCACTCGAACTAGGATTGGCAATAGTGGAATCCGGAGCAGGATCTGCAGCAGCGATTGGAGCACAAGTGTCAGCAGGAGAAGTGCCAGCAGGAGAAGTGCCAGCAGCAGCAGAGGATCCTGGGCAACTCATGTTTGTGTCTTGGCCTGCGCCAGCAGTAACACTAACGGCAGCACCAGCAGTAGCAGCCACATCAGTGGCAACACCAGCAGTAGCATCAGCAGCAGAGGCAGAACCAGCAACGGCATCAGCAACAGAGGCAGCACCAGCAGTGGCTGCAGCATCAGGGGCTGCAGACGCGGCTGCTGCTGCTGCTCCTGCTGGTGCTGCTCCTGCTGCTTCTTTGGACAGTTTGCCTGTTGCAGAGATCGACAGCCTTTCAACGGCTAGCAACACTGGCCTGCCTACCCCATCCGGATTTGATCCCTCGCCCCCATCTACTTGCATAGGACATGCACCCTTTTCCCCATCCACTTGCATTTGACTCGACCCCGCTCCCCATTCCACTTGCATGGGATCGCTGCTATGCTGCCCCTCTCCTCTTAGACTCGCCTCCCCTGCTGTTGACTCCTGCTGCTCGGTGACCTGCTGCTGCGAAAACTGTTGCTGCAGTGTTGACTGCTGCTGTTGCCTTGGCTGCTGCTGCTGCTGCTGCTGCTGCTGCTGCTGCTGTGGAGCTTCTCTCTGCAGCGCCTGCACCTTCTGCTGCCCTGGCGCGTCACTGTGTATGTGTGTCTCCTGCCACCAGCAGGTGGCATGCGGCGGGATTGCCAGAGGAAACTGCAGAGTCTCGAGACTTCTCCAAATCACCTCCATGCCCACACTGCCGCTCTCACAATCCAATGCTGCTTCTGCAACTGCTTCTCCTGCTCCTGCTCCTGCTCCTGCCGTTTCTGCTGCTCCTGTTCTTGTTGCTGCAGACACTTCTCCTGCTGCTGCATCCGCAGCTGCTGTTTCTGCCACGGCTGTTCCTCCTTCACCTGTTCCTGCATCTGCTGCTCCCACTTGCGCCTCTGCTGCTCGCGTTTCTGCTGCGCGTGTTTCTGCTGTTTGAACTCCTGCTGTTGTTTCTCCTGCTGTTGCCCCTGCTGCTGCCGCTTCACCTGGTGGTGCCCCTCGTGGTCCTGCCCCCTCCAGCACCCTGTCGCGCTCATTCCCTCTCTTCTCCTCCTCCTCAGCAACCCCATCCTTCTTCCTCTGCTTCTCAAGTAAGGACTGAATCTCTTGGTACTGCGCCTTCAGCTCTGTGTGACGCATCTGGGTTGAGGAGGAGACAGAAGAACACAACACACACAGAAACAATCAGGAGCGGAGAGAGCATTACAGGCTCTTTTACAGAGGGAACACCAGGGGGGGGCAGAGGGCACGAGGCAGAGGGCACGAGGCAGAGGGCACTGGGCAGAGGGCACGAGGCAGAGGGCACTGGGCAGAGGGCAATGGGCAGAGGGCACGAGGCAGAGGCTGATTTTGAGAATTCTCAAAATCAACCTCAAAAAAAAGAGAGCACTACAGGCTCTTTAAAAGAGGGAACACCGGGGGGCAGAGGGCACGAGGCAGAGGGCGGAGGCTCTCTCGCTCTCTCCCAGGCAGATACTGAAAACACACCCGAAAACAAAAACAAAACGAGAAGGAAACTTACGTGAACCTGCTCTGCCTGAGCATTGAGGGAGGAAGCGAGATGCTCAATGACAGTCCCAGAATCACCATGCTGCTGGATGGTCCTCCTGCAGGCAGCAGCGGGAAGGGATTGGTTGCGGTGGAGTGGGTTGGAGTGAGGTGCAGTGAGATTTGAGGTACGAAGCGAGATGCTCAAGGACAGGCACAGCAAAGGGACAGGGATTTGGGTGCGGTGGAGCGTGGTGGAGTGAGGTGCACTCACGAAATGAGTGCATCCTGCACCGCAGTGAAGTCTTTGAGTTGGCTGCTTCTGGGCTAGCCCTCCTCCTCTGACTCGCTGCACACAACCGCCCACCCACCCGCACACCATACTCTCTCCCCATCACCACACCCACCCATTCTCCTCTCCTCACCATATGAGTGTGTCCTGCACCGCACTGAAGTCCTTAAGTTGGCTGCTGCTGGGCTGGGTTGGCCCTCATTGAGCCCCCTACATGCAACCACAACTGCACACGCGCTCACTCTCGCACTCTCCCCCCCCCCGTCCCTCACCAGATGAGTGCGTACTGCACCGCACTGAAGTCCTTAAGTTGGCTGCTGGGCGGATCATTGTTAAACCCCCTTCTCATAACCACACTGGCACACTCCCTCACCAGATGAGTGCGTCCTGCACCGCACTGAAGTCCTTAAGTTGACTGCTGCTGGGCTGGCCTTCGTCCTCTGACTCGCTGCACACAGTCGTCTCTTCTCTGCATCGTAGTACAGCCCTCCTTCTTCCCACCAGCGACTGCTCGTCTGGAATCTGCTCGTTCCTGTGTGGGGGTTGGGGACACCCGGGAACGAACAAGAACAACAACAACAAGAACAAGAACAACAACAACAACAACAACAACAACAACAACAACAACAACAACAACAACAACAACAACAACAACAACAACAACAACA